TGCAAGAAAAGAACCAAGCTCAGAGAACCCCAAGGACTCCACCATTCAACCCTGAGCTACATATATTCACCTCTATTGGTAGAACAATATCATCTGGGGCTTTCTCTGGATGCCACCCAACAGAGATACATAAAATAAGGCATAATATGGAAGATGTGGATAGAGATGAATTTTTCTCCTTCCCTGGCAATGTTAGAATTCAGGGTCATTCTCTGAAATGAATGCAAGGAGATCCAACACAGATAAGAGGAAGCACTCCTTTACATAATACAGTTATACTATTAAAATTGTTGCCATCTGATCTAATGTTCATCAATTTGGACTTTCAGGGAGTGGATTGGACAAAAGACCATTCTGTGGTTAATGTGACTTTGCAAGAAGTCCCATTTAAAATCTAATCGGTTTACTAATTCTTACCTAATTTCCCATTTTTATTCCTCAGTGGCTTGCTCTTGCCTTTCTGGTTCTTACTCTCAATCTTCTCCAGTTGTGCAGCATTTCTCCATTAGAACCTTCTCACTGAATACAGCTGATAGGGGCACCCTTTCCTTTTCTTTCTGTGTCACGTTCATCATTTTTACTAATATTTGTTGGGGGCTGCACATCCTTAGTTCCAGTGCATCGCTAGAGTACTAGGTTGGAGAAAGGTTTTTAAATTAATAATGTTGGTAAAGGAACAATTTTCATTGGAAATCCATTAACATAAAATTAATATACTAGTGAAGACTACTATTTGCTAGAAAGAATAAAAGAATTGTGATTTATGTACTATATTTATTTATTGGCACTTTATGGCAATGAATAAGTGGACACTTTATGTCTTTGTTTTTATTGTAGAATTCTTTGCCTCATATTCTTGAAAAGTTTCAAAAGCATCTTGGCCTATATATAAGTCATATTAATTTCACAGTTTCAGGAAGTGAATGAAAATGAATCTTGTGTACCCAAGCATATATAACTCTTACCAAGAATAAATATAATTTGAGGAATATTAATGCATTAAGTTTTAAGTTTTATTTTATGTATTTAAATTATTTTTAAATGATTATGCATTCTATTAGAATAAAATACTTATTTATCTTTATCTATTACTTTTTCCTTTCAGAAAATGATGAAAGATAACAATCTGGTCCGTCATTTAGATGCATGCGAGACTATGGGAAATGCTACAGCCATCTGCTCTGATAAAACAGGGACATTAACAACTAACCGAATGACAGTAGTGCAAGCCTATGTTGGGGATGTCCATTACAAAGAGATCCCTGACCCAGATTCTGTTCCAGCCAAAACTCTGGATTTTCTGGTTAATGCAATTGCCATCAACAGTGCTTATACTACAAAGATTCTGGTAAGTAGGATTATTTTCGACAACAAAAGGCTGTAAGAAAAGGAATCGATACTGGTTTGGGGAACTTTGGTTGGTACTTAGAAACCTCACCTATTTTTAAACATTTGGTGGGATGATGTAATATCCAACAGCTTGAGCAGAAGGCACTGGTATGTCCTTTCTTTCCTTTGTGTATCTATATCTATATCTATATCTATATCTATATCTATATCTATATCTATATCTATATCTATATCTATATCTATATCTATATCTATATCAATATATATCACATGCATTCTGTAATTTACCAGGGGATAAGCCCCACTAAATTCAGTGTCTACTTTTTTTCTGAGTGCAAGGATTAATTTTTGAATTAAAAAATGAATTTCAAGAGATGAAAGAAGTTGCCTTCTGCATTCTTCTGTGTGTACATAGTCCAGAAAACGTTTTGTAGGACCCAAGCCAGTTAGAGAACACAACAGCAATAATAACATAATATTTGTACTGAACTTTCAGTTGTCTTGTATGAATTACTCTTCACTAGGTTGATATCCATTTCTCCGACAGTTCCCCATGGTATACATAGTACAGTGGTACCTCGGTTCACGAACTTAATTCGTTCCACAACTCTGGTCGCGAACTGAATTGGTCGTGAACTGAATCAAATTTTCCCATAAGGTTCAATGTAAATACGGTTAATCTGTTCTGACCCCTACGAATGTGGCTGCCAACCGATTTTGGTTGCCAACCGAATCAAATTTTCCCATAAGGTTCAATGTAAATACGGTTAATCTGTTCTGACCCCTACGAATGTGGCTGCCAACCGATTTTGGTTGCCAACCGAATCAAATTTTCCCATAAGGTTCAATGTAAATACGGTTAATCTGTTCTGACCCCTACGAATGTGGCTGCCAACCGATTTTGGTTGCCAACCGAATCAAATTTTCCCATAAGGTTCAATGTAAATACGGTTAATCTGTTCTGACCTCTACGAATGTGGTCACCAACCGATTTTGGTTGCCAACCG